GGGTTCCCCTTTCTCCACATCCCCGCCAACATCTGTCGTTTCCTGACTTGTTAATTTTAGCCATTCTGACAGGTGTGAGGTGGTATCTCATTGAGGTTTTGATTTGGATTTCCCTGATGCTGAGCGATGTTGAGCACTTTTTCATGTGTCTTTGACCATTTGGATGTCTTCTTGGAAAAATGTCTGCTCATGTCTTCTGCCCATTTCTTGATTGGATCATTTGTTTTTTGGGTGTTGAGTTTGATAAGTTCTTTATAGATTTTGGATACTAGCCCTTTCTATGATATGTCATTTGCAAATATCCTCTCCCATTCTGTTGGTTGTCTTTTGGTTTTGTGGATTGTTTCTTTTGCTGTGCAAAAGCTTTTTATCTTGATGAAGTTCCAATAGTTCATTTTTGCCCTTGCTTCCCTTGCCTTTGGAGATGCTTCTAGGAAGAATTTGCTGTGGCTGAGGTCGAAGAGGTTGCTGCCTTGTTCTTTAGGATTTTGATGGACTCCTGTCTTACATTGAGGCCTTTCAACCATTTTGAGTCTATTTTTGTGTGTGGTGTAAGGAAATGGTCCAGTTTCATTCTTCTGCATGTGGCTGTCCAATTTTCCCAACACCATTTGTTGAAGAAACTGTCTTTCTTCCATGGGACATTCTTTCCTGCTTTGTCGAAGATTATTCGACCATAGAGTTGAGGGTCCATTTCTGGGCTCTCTATTCTGTTCCATTGATCTCTGTCTGTTTTTATGCCAGACCATACTGTCTTCATGATGACAGCTTTGTAATAGAGCTTGAAGTCCAGAATTGTGATGCCACCAGCTTTGCTTTTCTTTTTCAACATTCCTCTGGCTATTCGGGGTCTTTTCTGGTTTCATACAAATTTTAGGATTTTTTGTTCCATTTCTTTGAAAAAAGTGGATGGTATTTTAATAGGGATTGCATTGAATGTGTAGATTGCTCTAGGTAGCATTGACATCTTCACAATATTTGTTCTTCCAATCCATGAGCATGGAACGTTTTTCCATTTCTTTGTGTCTTCCTCAATTTTTTTCATGAGTATTCTATAATGTTCTGAGTACAGATGCTTTGCCTCATTGGTTAGATTTATTGCTAGGTATCTTATGGTTTTGGGTGCAATTGTAAATGGGATCGACTCCTTAATTTCTCTTCCTTCTGTCTTGTTGTTGGTGTATAGGAATGCCACTGATTTCTGTTCATTGATTTTATATCCTGCCACTTGACTGAATTCCTGTATGAGTTCTAGCAGTTTTGGGGTGGAGTCTTTTGGGTTTTCCACATACAGTATCATATCATCTGCAAAGAGTGAGAGTTTGACTTCTTTGCCAATTTGGATGCCTTTTTCCTTTTTGTTGTCTGATTGCTGTGGCTAGGACTTCTAATACTATGTTGAGTAGCAGTGGTGAGGGTGGACATCTCTGCTGTGTTCCTGACCTTAGGGGGAAAGCTTTCAGTTTTTCCCCATTGAGAATGCTATTCGCTGTGGGTTTTTCGTAGATGGCTTTTATGATACTGTGGTATGTACCCTCTATCCCTACACTCTGAAGAGTTTTGATCAAGAAAGGATGCTGTACTTTGTCAAATGCTTTTTCTGCATCTATTTACAGGATCATATGGTTCTTTTTCTTTTTTTATTAATGTATTGTATCACATTAACTGATTTGCAGATGTTGAACCAACCTTGCAGCCCAGGAATAAATCCCACTTGGTCGTCATGAATAATCCTTTTAATGTACTGTTGGATCCTATTGGCTGGCGTTTTGGTGAGAATTTTTGCATCCATATTCATCAGGGATATTGACCTGTAATTCCCCTTTTTGATGGGGTCTTTGTTCGGTTTGGGGATCAAGGTAATGGCCTCATAAAACGAGTTTGGATGCTTTCCTTCCATTTCTATTTTTTGGAACAGTTTCAGAAGAATAGGTATTAATACTTCTTTAAATGTTTGGTAGAATTCCCCTGGGAAGCCATCTGGCCATGGGCTCCTGTTTGTTGGGAGATTTTTGATGACTGCTTCAATTTCCTTAGCGGTTATAGGTCTCTTCAGGTTTTCTATTTCTTCCTGGTTCAGCTTAGGTAGTTTATACATTTCTGGGAATGCATCCATTTCTTCAAGATTATCTAATTTGCTGGCATAGAGTTGCTCATAATATGTTCTTATAATTGTTTGTATTTCTTTGGTGTTGGTTGTCATCTCTCCTCTTTCATTCATGATTTTATTTACTTGGGTCATTTCTCTTTTCTTTTTGATAAGTCTGGCCAGGGGTTTCTCAATCTTGTTAATTCTTTCAAAGAACCAGCTCCTAGTTTCATTGAATCTGTTCTACTGTTCTTTTGGTTTCTAGTTCATTGATTTCTGTTCTGATCTTTATTATTTCTCTTCTCCTGCTGGGTTTAGGCTTTATTTGCTGTTCTTTCTCCAGTTCCTTTAGGTGTAGGGTTAGGTTGTGTATTTGAGACCTTTCTTGTTTCTTGAGAAAGGCTTGTATTGCTATACACTTTCTAGGACTGCCTTTGCTGCATCCCAAAGATTTTGAAGAGTTGTTTTCATTTTCATTTGTTTCCATGAATTTTTAAAAATTCTTTAATTTTCTGGTTGACCCATTCATTCTTTAGTAGGATGCTCTTTAGCCTCCATGTATTTGAATTCTTTCTGACTTTCCTCTTGTGATTGAGTTCTAGTTTCAAAGCATTGGACCACTTTCTCTTTCTATAATACACTTCTTTGGTCTCCAAACATGATGCTCTCCTGTTTTTTTTTTTTTTTCTCCTTACCTCTCCCATGTCTCTTCTCTGCCTCTGCATTGCAGGATCATACTCCCTTGGTCATTAAATGTTGCAGGAACTCAAGTTTCAGTAGTGGCCCCTCTACTCTGCTCCCCCTTTACCTATGATAAGATCCATCTTTCTGAATGCTCTACCTTCCACCCAAACCTCTTCGCTCATTGCTGATTTACTCCTGCTTATTCTTGAATCTCAGCTTACATGGCACTTCCTGAAGAAAAATCTTTCCTGAGCTCCTGTCTTGGTCAAATACTTTTACTACTTGCATAGCTTGGGTCTCAGCCAGATTGTCACCACTCACCAAAGGATCCTGGGAAAGTGAAGAGACCTCAAAATGGCTGTCTCCTCATCTATAAATGGGGATGATCTATCATACCTATAACATAAGGTTGCTGTGAGGCTATTACACTGAGTTTACACATTTAAAATGCTCAGAACATGGCACAATAAGTGTTCAATAAGTTTTAGCTCTCGTTACATACTTCTGCAGCACCATATTCTTCTCTTTTGCAAGATTTATCAGAGCTAAAATTTTAACACTTGTTGGTGTAGTGTTATTTATTTAAGCAATTTTTTGAGTATAGTTGACACACTATTAGTTTCAGGCATACATCATAGGGATTCAACATCTCTTCCCATTATGCTCGCTCACCAATATAGCTGCTCTCTGTCCCCATACAACACTATCATAATATCATTGACTATATTCTCTATGCTGTGCCTTTTATCCCTGTGACTTATTCCATAATTGGAAGACTGTACCTCCCACTCCACTTCACCCATTTTGCCAATCCCCATGCCCCACTTCCTTCTGGCAACCATCAGTGTATTTATAGGTCTGATTCTTTTTGTTTATTCTTTTTTTTTTTTTTTTTTAGATTTCACATATGAGTGAAACCACATGGTATTTATCTTTCTCTGTCTGCTTATTTCACTTAGCATAATACCCTCTAGGTCCATCCATGTTGTCACAAACCTATGATGTCTACTATTATCATCTCCCCTATAGACCCTTGAGAGAGGGATGATGAATGCTTTGCCCACAAGTGCATCCCCAGTACTTAGCCTAGGACTTGGTACCTAGGTGTGCTGGATATTCTCCACTTGCCTCTCCAGAACCACTCTCCACCCTCAACTGGCTCTGAGCCCCAGGAGGGCTGAGACCTCTATATATTTATGGAACCATCCATAAATGACACCGCCAGTCATTTAACTTCTGGCTGGGTTTGGCTAATGGGAGACACTAGCAGTTTAAAGGGTAAGCAGAGAATAAGGTTGGGATATTTATTCCCATGGATCTCTCTCTGTCAGGCCACAGCTGATGGTAGCTGTTTTTTTAAATAGAGATGCCCCTTCGCCCAACCTCAGATAATCCCACTCCTATTCACTCCCCAGTTCAGGGGAGTTTCTGGTGGTAACAGCCCCTTAACTGTGACCAGGCATAGGGTGCTTCACCATTGTTCCCCTTCCCCATGTATCTGTAAACTGTCCCTTCTTCAAGCCCTGCCCAATTACACCAGTTAGGATGCCACCTCTTTCCTTCTGGGGCACTGATCCAAGATGGCCCATGTCCATATGTGCTAAATTAATAAGTAAATACCTGTTTTTACCAGATGAAGATAATAATCCTCAGTCCAAACCATGGCTAAAGTTGTTATGATGAGTTAATAAGAAACAAGAAGTAGCAGGCGCCTGGGTGATTCAGTCAGTTGAGCATCTGACTCTTGATTTCAGCTCCGGTCATGATCTTGCGGTCATAGGATTGTGCCCTGTGTTGGTCTCCATGCTCAGCATGGAGTTTGCTTGAGATTCTCTCTCTCCTTCTGCCCTCCCCCAACTCGTGTGTGCTCTCTAAATAAATAAATTTAATAAATTTAAAAAAAAATCAGGAAGTAAACATATATTTTAAAAAAGTGAGGGCATTCTGGAGTAGTGGTTCTCAAATGTGAGAGTGTATCAGAACAACATGGAGGGCTTATTAAACCTACATTGCTGAGCTCTACCCCAAGACAGGCTGATTTGGCAGGCCTAGGGGAGGGAGGGTAAACAACTTGCATTTCTAACAAGTTTCCCCATGCTGTTGATGCTTCTATGCTGGAGACCACAGTTTGAGAAACAGACACTAGAGAAACACCAGAGGTTTTTGTTACTTATAGACCCCAAGTCTCATGGTGGCATTAACTATCTTTAAGGACACAAAGGCCAAGTATAATATAATCTATGTTTTATTTTATACTTCTCTGATCATTAAAATCTAAACAGAAGTTTTGCTTAAACATAAAAAGAAAAAAAGAAAAAAACATTAACAGGATTAAATACTGGGAACAGATGAAGGGTGTGCAAGGAAGGGCTGTCTTGGGAAGGGCTGCACATTTGCAGGCACACTGGCAAAATGGCCCATGAAGCTCAGACCTGGTGAAGACTGTGCTTAAGTCACAGCTCAGTCCTGAGGCTTGGGCACAGAAGGCATCTCATTCCTGCTCCTCCCCAATCCAGGCTGCATGGGCACAGAACAGTGACAGCATATCTCCCAAGTGCACTGGACATGTCTCTTCCTTCAGCGTCTTCAGGCCAGAGTCCCCTGCTCTCCACACACACATGCACACTCATTTGCACTCACCAAGCACATGAGTGTGCACTTATGTCTGGGAACATGCAGTCACATTCATACACAAACAATGCTTCTGATTTCAGGCCTCCCTCACCCTCATAGGCTCAGGTTCCAACTCCAGAGTCAAGATGTGTGTTAGTGTCCTTAGCAGACTGACAAAGGGCCACTGCAGAGGCAGGGTGTCAACCATCCTTCCTGAGGACCCAGGCAGGGAGAAACTGTATTCTGTACCCTGCTGGTGTGAAGGAAAATTCTACTGAGAAACTGGGGCTGCCTGGGCTCATTAGGGAGGTCCAGATGATGGTTCTGAGAAACCATCCAGCCCTGCATCACTCCTCAATAACCAGTTGATAAGAAAGCAGAGTGTCAGAAGGCCAGTCCCTAGGAGGTCCCCCAACCCTGTGAGATAGGGGATACAGTGGTTGTCTGGATCCAGGGCCTGGTGCCATGTCAGCCGAACCATCACTTCTGCCAGGTACAGAAGAATCGTCACCTGGCACAAGAGCAAGCAGACACAATAAATAACAACTAAGTCAGAGAGTCAAGTGTCACTAAGAAACACTAGCAAATTTCAAAGGCAGATACCAAGGTGGACATGTCCACTCCAAGGAGCCCCCTTCCTCTAGCTTTTCTTGGGGTCAGTGCCCAGCTCTGAGCTCATGCAAAGGCAGGAAGTCCACCCTTATCCATACTTGCCTAGCCTCCCTCCCTGTGGTCAGGTCCTACTTGTGGCAAACTGAGGTGCCAGAGAGACCATCTCTGCTACACCAACTCCTCTCACTGTCCTTGAAAACTCAAGACATAGACCTTATTGGGACTTCAATTTGAGTTTGTTGGAAGCCCTTGTATGGGCAGCTTTGGACAGTAAGGCTTTCCTGAAAGTGCCAGTAGTGAGCACAGTCCTGGCTTCATTCCAGGGCTCCTCGGTCCCCTGTCCCAGGCTGACTCCAGCCCTTTCCGTGCTCCTGCTCAAGACAGTTTGTCAGAGTGCCCCAACCCACTATTCAGGGTCAGGGACATGCTGCAATTGTAAATGCCCTAACTCAGGGAGATTTGAGCACGTCAGTCCCTAGCTCTAGCACTGCCCTCCTAGAATTGCCCATCAGTGTCCACAGTTATCTCTGCAGACAACCTGGGCCCACGAGGGGCATCAGTCAGCTAGTCTGGGCAGACAGTCTGCTGAGTACTACCCAGAGGCAGGCACCAGCTTAGTCTCTTTCATCATGTCCTTATCACCATCCAGCCCTGACTAAAGTCCCTGCATGCCTTTCAGCAACACTCCAGCAGGGGGCTGGTCTCTGCCCACCCTGTCTGTGATGGTTGGTGTGCATGGCACAGTTTATCGGCTGGACCCAGTCATCAACTTGCTTCACAGCAACTTGCTGCAACTTCAGGATGAACCTTTGGTCCTGAGGAGTGTGCAGTGTGCTATACGTAGTATGGAGCGTGCCTTGTGGGGGGTGTACCCTATTAAATGTGCAGTGTAGCATGTGCTGTGTGGAATGTGCAGTGTGAAGTGTGCAATACAGAGTGTGGAGTGGCCTCTCTGTCTGGATCATGCCCTTGGGCTTGAACAAGTTGACTCTTGTAAGATGGGGGTCCTAGAACAGCCCCGCCCACCAACCAAGACAAATCTTGCTGGCTGACCAACCACTGAATGCTGCTCTGATACTGCTATAGTCATCCTCACCTGGATCAGGCTTGCTAGCAGATAGAACACCACAAAGATCTTACTGTCTGGGACCAAATGGCCTTCCACCAAGTAGATGATGTAGAAGAAAATCAGATGGCCCGGAACCACCAGAAAGAGCAGGACTCGGGCTGATATGGAATTAATTTCTGGAAAAAAGAAAACCAAGGAGATTGTGTGACGTGCTGGGCAGCAGAAGCCACCTTGGCATGTGGCAGTCTCCAGTGAGGCATCCACATTCATTTATCTATTACATGAGTGTTTACTGAGCACCTACTGTGTGGCAGGCACGTTCTTGCATATGGGGATATACTCCTGTCCCTTCCCTCATGGAACTGACATTTTAGGGAAGAGAGAGAGAGGAAAAAAAACCAGAATCAGTAGCAGAAACAAACAAGAAAAGTCATTTCAAACTGACCAGTGTGAGGATGAAAATAAACCAGGATAATGTGGTAGAGAACAAAGTGTATATTAGTAGGATGAATACTGGAGACTAGAAGCCCTCAAGAGAAGATGACATCTAGGCTGAGATATGAATCTGGAGGAGAGGACTCTGGGCAGAGGAAAGGGAACATGCAAAGGGCTTAAGGTGGAAGAGAGCTCTGGAATGTGGGCGAATGAAGGCTCAGCATGTGGAATTAGTAATCCAGGGAAGGGTGGCACACTCATGGGAGGCCTCAGGCAGCCCCTTCCTCACGCTAAGCCTCTGGGACTCATTCGGCACATTCTCTTTTGGCTTCAGTACTCTGAGAATTTGAGACTCTGCAAGAAGTGTGACTTCCTTGCCCCAACCACACACACTTAAAAATTGTAACATATGAATGCAACTGACTTCTCAACAGAAATAGAGTATCAATAAAAAGTCTCCATTTGCCTCTGAGTTAATATATTTCATCAAACTAACAAGAAAGAGGAGGAACAATCATACAGCTTAGAAGCTAAAAACACTACCATAAAATAATATGTAGAGAGGCTGAGAACACTCAAGAGCTCCAAAATCTCTTCATGATGAAAAATTAGACAAAGATTCTTTGGAAAAAAAAGTAGAAGCAAAATAAATAATTGCTATTGGTAGCAGGTCCTAAAACTCAAGAAAATCTATAGAAACATTACATAAATAAGAATTCAGTAAAATATTTAGATGCTGCTATAGCATCTGGGTGTCCTTCACCACCCAGATCCATATGTTGTAAATCTAATCCTCAATGTGATGGTATTTGGAGATGATTAGGTCATAAGGGTACAGCACTCATGAATGTCATTAGTGCTTATAACCTTATAAAAGACATCTCGGACACTTCACCCCTTCCACCATGTGAGGACACAGTGAGAAGACAGCTGTCTACAAACTAGGAAGCAGGCCATCACCAGACAAAATTTGCTAGTGCCTTGACCTTGAACTTCCACAAACTACAACTATAAAAAATAAGCTTCTTGTATTTATGAGCCACCCATTCTATACTTCCATTATAGCAGCTGAACTAAGACAGATACAGAAATAATAGAGAAATAGAAATAGATTTTCTTTTTTTAAAAGATTTTATTTATTTATTCATGAGAGAGGGAGAGAGAGAGAGAGACAGAGAGAAGCAGAGGGAGAAGCAGGCTCCCAAGGAGCAGGGAGCCCGATGCAGGACTCGATCCCAGGACCCCGGGATCATGACCTGAGCCGAAGGCAGACGCTTAACCATCTGAGCCACCCACACGCCCCTAGAAATAGATTTTCTATATATAAATGACAAATCAGAAAATTCAATGGTAATTTCCACTTCAAGACAAGATGGCTAGACATATTTCTTCCTATTCCTCTCACTAAATACAACTAAAAACCCTGGACATTATATATAAAACAAACATAAGAAGATTTGAAAAGGTGGAGAGAAAAGGTGGGCTGGCCAGGGACCTGGGGACCCAACAAACACAGAAATGAATTCCCTGAGTTGTTGTTTTGAGGGAGTTTTGCCTCATATATCCCAGACCAGATGCTAGAGCAAAAAAAAAACCAAAAATGTAAATGGCCACAGGACAAAAAAAAAAAAAAAAAAAAAAAAAAAAACCTCAACAAAAGCCCGCTCTGTCTAGCCAAAAGTCCATAAGAGGGATAGCCTAGCAAAACACAGAACTTTTAGGCAACAACTTCTCTATTTCAGCCAAACATCACAGGAAAAACTGCAGCCCCACTTCCATCAGCAAAGGCCAAGAGGGGAGCCTGGACTTCTGACCAAATCTAGGTGGAATGTGCCACTCACCCCTCTGGTTGAGGTGGGATAGAGAAGGCTGAGTGGAGAGTAAGCAGTACTCTGCCTGGTGGTAATGAGCTCCCCACTCAACCATGTCTGTGAAAGCCATGTGGGCAGCAATAACAAAGCTTTCCTCTCCCTCTCAGCCAGGGTGGTGTCAGAGGAACGTGGACCCCTCCCCAGCCCACCAGCAATGAAGTGCTCCTCTTCCCCCAGTGTATGAACAGAGGTGGTGGGTTTGGTAGGGGTGGGGGGAAACCTGGACTTCTACCCCCACCTGGCAGTAAGGAAGCAAAGCATTCCCTTTCCTTCAGTAGTGCAGTGTCAGAAAAGGTAGCTGAAAGAGACTTAAATGAGATCCAGAGTTTCATAATATATACCCCGAATGCCTGGGATTCAATCTGAAATCACTTCTTATAAAAGAAAAAAAAAATTCAGCTTGAAAAGACAACCAACAGACACTAAGAATGAGATGACACAGATGGCAGAATTATCTGAAAGCAATTTTAAGGAATCCATTGTAGAAGTGCTTCAACCAGCAATTACAAATATACTTGAAACAAATAATAAAAATAGAAAGTTTTGGTAAAAAAAAATTAGAAAGTCTCAGAAAAGAAACAGAAGATACAAAGAAGACCCATGTGGAAATTTTAAAACTGAAAAAATACAATAGCCAAAAAAACCCCAAACAACTCAATGCAAGGGATGACTAGCAGAGTGAAGAGGGCAGAGGAAAGAATCCATGAACTTGAAAAAAAAACTATGGAAATTAGCCAATATGAATAAGAGAGAATAAAATAGGCTGGGGGAAAAACTGAACAGACACTCTAGGGCTTGTGGGACTGTAACAAAAGATCCACCATCATGTCATCAGAATACAGGAAGGAAAGGAAAAAGACAGTGCGGCTGAAGGTGTATCAAAGAAATCATGGCTTGAAATTTCCTAAATTTGGCAAAAGATAAATCCATGTACTCAAGGAGCTCAGTAAACCCCAAACATGGCAAACCCTCAGAAATCCACACCAATGTGCATCACAACTCAAAGACTAAAAAGTAAAGAAAAAGTCTTGAAACAAACAAAAGACAAAAAAATAATTCAAATGACAGTAATTTCTCATGAGAAACCAGGGGATTCAGAAGAAAGTGGCACATTTTTCAAGTGCTGAAAAGAACCATCAACCCTGAATTTTATATCTGGCAAAAATATCCTTCAGGAATGTGCCAGCAAATCTACCCTAAAAGAATGGTTAAAGGTAGCTCTTTTTTTTTTATTTATTCATAAGAGATAGAAAGAGAGGCAGAGGGAGAAGCAGGCTCCCCGCTGAGCAGGGAGCCTGATGCAGGACTCGATCCCAGGACCCTGGGATCATGACCTGAGCCGAAGGCAGATGCTTAACCATCTGAGCCACCCAGGCGCCCTAAAGGTAGTTCTTGAAACAGAAAGGAAATGATTAATAGAAAATGCAGTGGGAGAAAAGATCCAAGTTTTAAAAGTAACAAAAAGAAAAGACCTCAAAAGGTTTCCAGTGGTTCTCAGAATAGAATCCAGTCTCCCTTCCTCAAGCTTCAAGGACCTATAACGAAACCCCTCCCTCCCTCCCTGGTCTCAGCTTCCTCCATCCTCTCCCTTGCTCGTTTTGCTCAGGCCTCCCTGGCCTTTCAGTTCTTCAGACTTACCAAGCTCCTTCCTGCTTCTGAGCCTTTGCTCAGGCTGTCCTCCCTGCCTCAAACGCTCCTCTTGCTCCAGCACGCCTCCTCCCCCCACACCCTCCCCTGCTCCCCCCATATCCTCAGAGAGGAACTTGCCAAACCCAAATCTCAATATCTCCTGTAATTCCTTCCACTGAACCCTGTACTTTTTTATTTTAAAACATGCCATAATTCGTAGTTAAATGCTCCTTTTTTGGTATGTTTATCTGCTCTTCTAGATCATGTAAATCCATGTGGGCAAGAATCAGCTTTCTCTGACTCATCACTGCAACCTGACACCTAGCACCTGGCAGAATTAAATATCTGAATGAATGGATGAATCAACTAGAGGCAGAGATAGGGAGTTAGGTCTCTGGGAGGAGGAGCTGTGTCCTTGACGATGATCTGGGCTGAGGTCAGCACTGGTCTTAGACATCTGTTGCTGCAGAGCAGATTCCAATGATGGCAATTTTTACTTGTGTAAAGAAATGGCCACATGGCCTCTGGAAGACACCAGACCCACCTGAGGTGCAGAAAGTGGAGCATGGGTTAGGCCAGAACTGTTTCATCCAGAGGGGGAGAACACCAGGCGTGCTCCACATGTGCAGGTAGGTGGAGATCCGGCTGGTCTGAATGGCCACCAGATTGCCACCAACACCTGGGAGGAGAAAAAGAATGTGGTTTCCCCTTTTTTATGCCAGTCTCTAAGTTCTATCTCTTATTTTAAGTCTATGTCCTCCAGGAAGCCTTCCTTGACTGATTCAGCACTGGATCTTTCTTCCTTCTCTCCCACTTTACCACAGATCTTGTTCGGTCCCAAGCAAGGGTAAACTGGACCTTGTGAATGAGGTACCACCTTGACAGCTATCTCTTACGGTGAAGGAAGTGTGACTGGCAAAGTAGGTTTTTAATACATATTTGTTGGGTAGAGGGAGGGGGTGTGGAATAGGAAGAGAGGGAGGGAAGACAGTGATAGAAAGGTCTATGGGAGGGTATCTTGATAAGCCATTCAAAGTCGTAGGATGTGACAGGAATCAGATTCCAGACTGGAACATCTGAGAAAAAGAAAGTTTTTTTTTCCCCTAAGGTGGGAAGGAGACAGAAGAAAAATTGGGGACAGCAGCAAGAGAAGAGGAGCTATCATATGCAACAGGCCTGGGGCTTACTGCTGAGGCCCCAGCTTCCACATGGAGTGGACTGTGCGCAGCCCTGCCATGACCCCAGGGCCCAGGAGACAAAGGTCATGCCAAGCTCCCTCTGCAGGGCCAGGATCTGGGACTGGCAGAGAACAGGGCCTACTCATGGCCATCTCCTTTAGAGGGTGGGTGGGCTGCCCCCATTTGATTTCCTCAGCCCCCTGGGGATTAATCCCTCACTGGGCCAGATGTGCCCCAGTGATCTCCAGAGGGAGAAACCAACTACCCTGGATACAGAGAATGGTCTGTGGGCAGAGGACAGCTGCAGATCTATTTTGCTAGATCCACATGATTTTTTATGTATGTATATATGTATGTATGTATGTTCAGTCAGCCACCATATAGCACATCATGAGTTTTTGATGTAGTGTTCAATGATTCAATAGTTGCTTAGCACTGGGTGTTGTACACATGATTTTAAAAAAAGGAAAAAACTTTTAAAAAGTAACTCAAATTAATTGCCAGCTTCTCCTAACAAGTCAGTTGAGGCAACTCCAGACCTCCAATCTTGACAGGCAGCAACTGGCTGGAGCTGAGCAGGCCCCACTCCCTCCAACCCAAGAACATGCTCTGCAGCGTGACTGTTCCCTGCCACTCCTTACAGCCCAGTTACTGTCACACCTGCTGAACTCATTCAAACTGCTTTTGTGGCACCAGAGGCATCTGAGTTGGTGACATACAAGGAAATCTTTCCAAGTGTTAAACATCGGGACCTGACTTAGGTGATGCAGTCCGCTAGGTGGCCAGCCCCTTGTGTGAGTGGCCAGCCCTGCCTCTGTTGGGAGCAGACCTACTGGGTCTCACTGACATGCAAGGTACAATCACCTGGGTTCCCATGGAAGTAGGGGGGAGGGGTACCCAAGGGCCTCTGAAGCCTGTTTCTTTCTTACTTTTTTTTAAGATTTTGTTAGGGGAGAAGCAAGATGGCAGAGAAGTGGGAGACCTAAATTTCCTCTGGTCCCAGGAATTCAGCTAGATAGGTATCAAACCATTCAGAACACTTACAAACTCAACAGGAAATCAAAGAAAATAGCAGCAACTCTCTGAACAGAAAAGCGACCACTTTCTGGAAGGTAGGACGTGTGGAGAAGTGAATCTGAGGCGAAATTCTGGAAGATAGATGGCGGCGGGGAGGGAGCCTCCGTCAGCTGGCTACCGGCAAGTGATAGAGCACAGAGCACAAAATTGGAATCTGCTCCACTGAGGGACGTCACTCCAGTGGCTAAACGGGGGATGGAACCCTCGCTGGGACAGTGTGGTCTCAGGACCCTTGGGGTCACAGAAAGACTGGGGGTGCCTGAGTGCGGCAGAGCTCCCAGGTATTGGAGCAGGGAAGCCAGCTGCAGAGGCGGAGCCAAAGAGTGGGCTCTCAGCTCAGCGTTGCCGTAAACCATGATCCGTGGCACAGCCAGGCCAGTGCTCTTCCAGCAGGGACCCAACAAGTGGCAGATCTGGGGAGACTCCCCTTCCTGCCCAGGGAGGAGT